CAAGCCAAACATACTTGGGATGGTAAGAAAGTCCTGAGCCGATTTTTCGAAAGCTCCAGAACTTTCGCTTATTGATCGATACCTAGAATCTGCTACGTGATAGATTATCGCTGTCGATCATACTTCTCCGCAGTAGGTATATATATTGCCGGGTTGCCTTCTTTAACTTTAATCATGATGTCGATTCCACAAGAGCACTTTCGAGCGATCATCTTCAATGAATGGCGCTGCGGCACAGGAGCAGTGGAAACCGTCAACATTATCAGCATCGCATTGGGAAGGGACACCACTTCCATCATCAGTGCCAAGCTCTGGTTCGCAGGCTTCGAGAGGAGGAGACACGGCTTCCGAAAACAAGTCAAGGTTGGGGTGCCCCAAACAGTGGGTTAGCACCCGCAGCCTTGTGATAAGACTCGGGTGCACCCATCCCACAGTCCTCGGTCCCCTCCACGCCCTCGCCACAGGAAAGTGCCGACTCGATGGATCCCTCATGTCTTGACCGATAGCACGCGGTTCAGGCGGGTACCCATTTGTCAGTTTCTCCTTCTTTGTCCGCACCGAAAGGAGTTTTTGGAAGGCATGATTACGAGAGATGAGAGTTGGGTCCTCTACGATTCTAACAAGCACAGTGCCGTGTGGCTCCCTCGAGGAGAAGACCCGCCGACACAAGCAAAATCGGACCTTCACCCCAAAAACTGTCTTCTTTGCTGCCTCTGGGATTCGTGAGGAATGTTGTATTATGAGCTGCTCCCGCAAGGACATACCGCTACCGGCAGCATTTACGCCAGTCAGCTCCAGAAACTAGCGGACGCTGTTCGAGAAAAACGACCGAGACGAACTTCTGTCCACCTACTCCACGATGACGCCAGGCCCCACATAGCTAAAGAGACCCGTGCAAAATTGGAAGAGCTGATCTGGGACGCGGTTCCCCACCCACCCTATTCCCCTGACATTGCCCTCTCTGATTATCACTTATTTCATCCCCTAAGGCATTCCTAGCGAAGAAAAAATTCACCAAAGTTGAAGACGTTGAAAGAGCGGTCAGCGATTTCTTTGACTCTCAGTCTGCTCAGTTCTGGGAGAAGGGGTCGCTGACCTGCCCATTAGGTGGGACTCTGTAGTGAGTAACAATGGTGATTATATTGTTTTGTATGTATGCTAAACGAAGTT